CTAACGTGACATATCAGTGAAACATATGCGACATTTGAGCAAAACATTTGTGACACTTGAGCGACATTCGAGCGACATATATGCGACACTTGAGCGACACACATGTGACACATGCACGACACTTGAGCGAAACATGTGCGACACTTGAGTGACACTTCAGCGACACATATACGACACTTAAACGAAACATAAGCAACATGTGCGTTACTTACGCGACAGATGTGCGAAACGTTAGCGACATCTGACGCAAGTGCGACACTTGATCAACATCTACGTGACAACTACGTGAAGCTCGAGCTACAACTGAGTGACAATTGAGCGATTATTGATAGATACTTTAGCGACACATGTGATAGTTACGTGACGCCGGAGTCACAATGAAGCGACAAATAAGCGACACTTGGGAGACACCATATCAACACCTAAGCAACACATTAGCGATGGTTGAGTCAATTAAAGGACACCTATGAGAATCATGAGTGAAGCTAACGCGACCTAAGTGACACTTGTGCGTCGCCTACGTGGCACATGTCTAACATTGAACGATACTTACGTGACACATCAGTGACACATATGCAACAAGCGCGACATTTGAGCGACACTTATTCGACATTTGAGCGAAACATTTGCGACACTTGAGCGGCACTTGTGGATCATTAATATTATGATCAACATGTGTGTTACTTACGCGACGAATGTGCAACACGTTAATGACACCTACGCGACAATTTATCGACACCTAAGTGACACACGAAGGAAATATCAGCGACACATGAGTGACACGTAATCGACATATTTACAATACCTGGGCGACAATTACGCGATAATGATGCAACAATCAAGCGTCACTTGATCAACACTTAAGAGACAGTGGTTCAACACCGATCCGCCACTCATGGAACACTTTCGCGAGACCTGAGTTTCACCTATGTAACACCTATGTCCCAAATTGGCGACACTTCAGCGACTCTGAGGTTGCATCGCTTTTATTACAGCGAGAAATTTTTTTTTATAAATCGTAACAAAAATCTAAGCATTCACGTATCTGTATGAAAATAAGTCCGAAATAAATTTTCATTTCTTACACAATCTAATTTCTTGACTGAGCCACATCATTATTTTCTTTTGAACTTGTCAGTGCTAAAAAATGATTCTATACTTTTTAGAAGAAAAAATTATTCTCCATTATTACCAGCAAAAACCTTAGCTCTAGATAAAAAAATAAAATTATATTTTTTGTAAATTTCAATTTTTTGACCAAGATCATTTTGTAATTCTTTTTGGGCATGACTAGACATAAAATACTTTATACTTTTCTGTACAGAATATTTTTTTCCATATTCGCCAGCTAAGAGTTAAGCTTATATAGGTGTGCAAAAAAAAATGACGATGAAAAACCTCATTTTTCAGTAAATTTCAAGTTTTGGATTGACATCATTTTGTAACATTTTTTGGGCATGTCTAAGTAAAAAAACTTGTCTACTTTTCTGTAACGATTACTTTGTCCTATAATTACTACCTGAGAGTAAAGCTTAAATAGGTCAGCAGAAAAAAATCACAATGGAAAACTTAATTTTTTAGTAAATTTCAAGTTTTTTATCCGAAATTAATTTGTAACTTTTTTTAGGCTTGTCTAAGCAAAAAAAAACCTTTTAGATTTCTCTTATAGGAAAAATCTAAACTTGAAAATCTTTTTCCATATTTACCAGCAAAAAATTGAGCCTAACGAAAAAGTGTAGATAAAATAACATTGTATTTCTTGTAAATCTCAATTTATTTGACCAAGATCATTTTGTAATTTTTTTTTTGGGCATGACTAGACATGAAATACATTTACACTTTTTTGTAAAAAATATTTTTTTCTATAATCGCTAGCTAAGAGTCAAGCTTTAGTCAGTCAACCAAATGGAATGATAATTTAGAACCTCAGTTTCTATGAAAGTTGAAGTTCTTGACCGAGACTATTTTGTAAATTGTTTGGGCTTAATTAAGAAAAAAATCTTCTGATACTTTTTGTAAAGAATATATTACTCTATAATTAACACCTAAGAGTTAAGCTTAAATAGGTCAGTAGAAAAAAATCACAATGAGGAACCTAATTTTTTCATAAATTTCAGATTTTTGACCGAAATTATTTTGTAGCTTTCTTGGACTTGTCAGAACAAAAAATATTTCTACATTTTCTTATATATGAATAAGTTTTTCCATATTTACCAGCAAAAAGTTGAGCCTAATAGAAAAAGTGTAAGAAAATTAAAATTGTGTTTTTTGTAAATTTTAATTTTTTTGACCAATATCATATTGTAATTTTTTTTTTGGGCATGATTAGACATAAAATACTTCTATACTTTTTTGTAGAGAATAATTTTTCCTATCATCGCCAGCTGAGAGTTAAGCTCATATAGGTCAGCAGAAAAAAATCACAATGGAAAACTTAATTTTTGAGTAAATTTCAAATTTTTGACCGAAATTATTTTGCGAGTTTTTTTGGACTTGACTAGGCAGAAAAATCAATCAATACTTTATGTAGAGAATATTGAATCCTATAATCACTAGCTGTTAGTTAAACCCTACCAGGTAAACAAAAAAAATGGCAGTACAGAACCTCATTTTTTAGTAGCATCAATTTTTAGTTTGTTTTTCTTTTTGTGTTAAATCTGAGAAGAAAATATCCCGGTACTTTTAGGTTGAGAAAATTTTCATTTTTATTTCTAGTCAAGAGTTAATCATTCGATGGACCAAAGCAAGGAATCTAGAAAAAAAAAACTCTGGAACTGAAAACAACTCCATCGATGTGTTACTAGCGTAGGATACATTCCATTCAAGCCACTAGCATTGTGTTTGAGCCGCCTACTTGTCAATTGTATTTTTTTAGTCAAGGACATGACAGTCAATATTGCCAAGTTAGGAAACTGGGCTCACACTTTGCCTTTACAGACCATGCTACCACTTATTTTTACCTCAGGTCATTTTACCAACACGGAACATGCTTCCCGGTCGCCACCTCTAAACCTTAAACCTTAAGAAACTATTATCTGCAAAAATTCACATCCGATTTTTTTTTTACCAAAACTTCTTTATTTTTCCACGTTTAGGCGTTTAGGTTATACCACCGCCAGGTTTTAAGATCAAACAGCGGTAAATTTTTAGGTTAACCTGACTTTTTTATCCATTAACTTTTTTTTTTGATTAGTCATCTGATTTTAATTTTATTTTGCTCATAGCTTCAGTCGAGTTCAGAAAACAAAAAAAAATCAATTTTATTTCAACCAATCAGATTATTTATCGTTTGTCTCTTTTCAATAAAAATACCAAATTCCTGGCCCTATTTATTACATTCAACAAACTGCATGATTTATGAATTTTATTTGGGTCGGAAAAAAGGCTTTTAATGATGTTAATCATATTACATAAAATAACTACGTTCTAATATTGAATTTATATTTATTATCTAGTTGGATTTGATAATTTTATTTCTATTTCACAATCTAACGCTTCTAGTCTTTAATTAGACTAAAAACTTGAAAATAAATAGTACTTTAAAAAATCAAACACGTTTCAATAGAAAACAAAACTGAAAAGTAGAAAATAATTTTCAGTAAGTTTAAAATAAAGTCATTAACCAGATAAAAAGATGTTCAAAGATTAGAACGTTAAAACGTAACATAATTAAAACCAATTTGAGGACACTTGATAAAAAATCGAACATGATCAGATCAAAATGCATTTTGAAAATTTTTCAATAAGTTTTAAATGTTTTTGGGACTGTTTTTATTGGAATTTAAAAATCCGTTAACTACGAAGGAATTGAAAGTTAGTAATTAAAAATAAATTTTATTGTAAAAATCGTGGGATGCTTTATATAAGATATTTTCATAATTAGTTTTAGTTTAAAATAATCTATCAATAAAATATTTATTACAATCGATATCAAATACTCCACAATTTTATTACGATAAACGAATTTTTTTTTTATTTAGTTTGGCTTGCTATTAAATCATATTTTCCATTTTCAAAATGTTATATTATAAATAGTGTATAAAATTTACTATAAATAAAAAGCTCATAAAAACACTCTTCTATTAAAATGCAACGTCGTGCAAAAATTTCAAGTTAATCCATCAACTAGTTCTAGAGTTTTGACTACGAATATACGAAAGCTGAATTTTCATTTATAAAGAAGATGAATACTCACATGGACAGCAGCGGTAATGAGTTGTTTGTATTGTTGTAAATAAACAGTCAAAGTATGAGGCCCGAAAATTGTTGAAGCTCCTTCATATCTTTGTATCTTTATGATAAGTAATATAACAAAATAAATTAAAGATATAACTTAAACTAAAAGGTTTGGTAATTAAATTTTGTTAGGGACTGACATTTATGAATTTTCGAGAAAAAAAATTGCGGAGATATCACTGGGTATAATCTAAGATTTTACTGAGTATAATCCAAATTCTAAAGGATGGAATCTCGGATTATATCCAGCGGAATCTTATGCGGTATAGTCTGAGATTTTACTGTGGGGAAATGGAAGATTACAATGAGTATAATCCATATATCACTCAGTATAATCTGGATTATACTACACAGAAAAAAAAATGTTATTGAATCAAATATATAACTTTGAAGAACTTAATATTCTTGATTTGAGTAGAAAAATTCTTGATTTAAGGAAATTTTTCTTGATTTAACGAAATTTTATTTGATTCAAGAATTTTTCTTCTTGAATCAAGTTAATTTTTTTTTCAGTGTAGCTACTATCTGAAATTTTTTTTCACTACAGATGTTACTGAGTATAATCTGGAATGTTATTCAGTGTAATCTTGTTCTCTCCGTGTAGTATGTAATAAAAATAAAATACCTCATATTCTTCGGGAGTTGCGATGTAATCGCTGTAAGTATTACAAAGTCCAGCAATGACAACAGTTGGCCGCGCCTTAGTGATCTCTTCAACGGTAGATGCTATAGTTTCTCTCATTCTCCTGCCGGACATGGTAGTAAACTCACCTGGAACACCAACTATCACCAAGTCGCCTATCATCGCCAGGTGAGTGGAAACAGTCTGTGGCTGCCACTGATACGGTAACCGCATCTATCCAATATTCAAGATCGATGTGAGGATGCAATTAAAATGAAAATGATAAATAACGTGAAAAGGGATCATAGTAACGAGAAGAGGAGTGCCGATTGTTGGTGTAGAGTATGAGATATAGGATATAATATATCATGTGTTGATATGTGCATAATATTGTAATCTAGGTTCGAGAATTGACCTTTATTGTGTCGAGAGTATGGGAACACAAGACCTTTTGGTTGACATTAAACTACTGAACCAAACTGTTAAACTTACCCTCCCAGTTGCAAGAAGTATTGGCTTAGCACCATGACACTTTATATCCTCCTCCGTAGGTACAGCTACGAAATTACGTACGGCGTTCCACATGGGATTTGTTGTTGTCGTGCCTTGGGCGAAAGAAAATGAACCTGGACCGTCGGTTGTTCCTGCTGCGAAACTGTAACCCATTGCTGGATAACATGCCGTTACCTATTGATAAATTATCGGAAAAAATGACAGGTGTACTTTATTTATTTTCAATTAATTTTTATTATTAAAAAATTAAATATTAAATTTAATTCCAAAAATTCATCAAAAAAAATATACCTATCACAAAATTTTTTTTATTTTTAACTTCCCGCTAAGAAAATTGAAAATTTTAAAAAATCGGGAAGTTATTGTTTTTACCCCGTTTTTCGAAAATCGAGTTTTCATCAGATCTCGACGTTTTGAGGTCCTAGGAAGCTTCCCTGACTATTCCCACGATGGTGTCCGTGCGGCTGTATGTGTGTGTGTGTGTGTGTGTGTGTGTGT